GGTTGTTATAAAGCTTAGGCAATATTATACCAACAGAAAAACAAAAGAAGAGAAAACTACTGGAACCTGCCTACAGAATTTTCTCCTAGCTATACATGCCAATGATCTTTCGGCTGCTAGATTCTGATTTTCTATCGGCTATGCCACTGTAAAGTTCTGAAAAGTTTTGGATTATAACTGCTGCTGAAACCATAGTGAGTGTGCATATTCCGGCTAATTGAAACACCAATCACATATTAAGGGTGAATGACTGTTGAAGTTACCAGTTCGGTAGAACCCAATAGCTTTGCCCAAATCTTATATTTGTGTTAAGAAATCGGCTTAATATATATAAATAATTTTTTCAGAACTTAATACGTTAAAAAAGCTATGGATGCAGAACTCATAAACCTAAAAATCCGGATCCGCCTCCAAGTATCATGGCCCCTACCAAACTAGCCTCAGAAAATTGGACCTGCTACCTACAGACTTTCTTTACTTGACCATGTTATTGTGCACCCCACATTCCAACGAGGCTCATTCCACGGTCGTCCATCCAGTATTGATATTTTCAGTCCCTATTGTGCAGATACTAACACAATCCTAGCTAGACGAATGATTAAGCGTGGAAACAAAGCTGCTACTCAAGTTCTTGTTCAGTAGATGGATGCAGCTCCAGAGCAGGTAACCTAGGAGGATTATTAACTAACGTGCAGTCGATTTTCATCACTGTTTCTTTGGGGACAAGAAATTTTGGAGAGCATGGAATGTAACAAGTGGGATTTGAAATGTGCAGAAGGAATTTTAAGCTTTGAAGAGTGGTACATGAGGCTTGAGGAGTGAGACTTGAACAAATTATTCTCAAGTTAGTTGGGTTTTAGATATTAAAAGTTACAATTTGGTCGAGCATAATTTTAAGCAGCACTTTCAATTGTTGCACTTTAGTCCCACTATTTAAAGTCCTTCCTATTTGGTCCATGTCAAGTAGTTACAGGGTGAGATCAGCAGAGCATGTCCCGCATCTGCTTCTCTCTCCACTTTTGCTAGCTATTATAAGTTGTAAACCTTCTTCTCTAATGAATTCGAACTTAGACTACTTCTCTTGGCAATTCTCTCGGCTAGTTTTTTTTTCTAACTTCTCAGTCAAATCTCTTTTTACAACACTCTTTCAATGGACCAGTGCGGATTCCGCATGTAAATGCAATGGCATAACAGTAAGTGTGACACCTGCATAACTTTCTACTGTGGAACCGCTTTAACTTAAAGACAATTTTTCGGAAGAAAAGGGTAGATAGAAACAGAGCTCAACATTACACAAGTTATAGTTCAATAGATACAACATAAATGTCTTTCTAGATCTAATTCCAACATAAAAGATGATGGTGGATAGTATGCTAAACAATAAATTGCTTTAATGAAATACGAACCATTAGCTACAAAAGAAGACTTCCCATGGCATTCATCCATAGATTGATAATGTGGTTCTTGATTGATCCATTAAGTGACCAGTATCGATGAGGGAAAAAGAGAGGTGGGGGAGGAGGTGACATTGAGAACACAATGAGTTGACATGTTTGGGCATCAAGGAACCACTTGAGGATACAGATAAGGGCACCACAAGAAGATAAAGCAGGAATCATCACTTTACAATGCAATTTTATCAGGACAGCATAATGCTGTGAAGATGAGGGCATTCTAAGCTAATAAATCAAAAGCCAACGATGCTACAACCATGCTTACCAAAGGAACAGAAATGTTATCGTCTACCGTTGGAGTAATAGGGAGAGACTCCACCATTGTTGCTATAAATGACACCACAGCTACTCTTTCTACAGTTGAAACCCAGTCCAAATGAAGATATCCCAAGGCCGAGAAGTAATAGAGCATCCTTTAACCATATGAAAAAGTGTAGCATCAGCATAAAGCTTACAGCAAAATCTCCAAACATAAACAGAAAAGGGACAAAAAACCTACCCAATGGACACCAGGAAACCGAGAACAAACATGGAGAGGCTACCAGCCAAACTTTTCTGTTTATTATAAGGGATTTTTATGGACCCAAACCTTCTTCCAACAATATCAGCAATTCCTACATAGAAAATAGTCAGAAAAAAAGAAGTACAAAAGGAACTAATCATAGACTAAGTAATATGAGCTTCAGCTGTTACCATCCCCACCACACATCATTGCTAACGAAATTACTCCAACCGGTGACTCACGCCAAAAGAGAAGTGCACTCAAAATTAACACTAGAACATAATATAGAGGCCCTCTAAGCAATTCTCTGCAAGGAAAAGGCTGAAATTTAAGAGATGAATCAATACCATGTATACGTTGAAAGAGGCAGAAAAGGGATTCTGGAACTTACTCTGGCTTTCCTTCCCGAGTAACAGATTTTAGAAGTCCCTCATCGGTAGCCAAAGAAAGGCCATTAATGACAAGTCTCAAACAGTTTGTAAGTGGAACCACAGAAGCAAAGTAGCGTGCCCATCTTGATGCACTAATCTAAGATCTAAATCATCAGTGAGAACTTTCAAATATGGTTTTGCAATCATCTATGTAAGACAAAATAATACCTGAAAATTGGCCAGGAAGCCATAAAAAGCAGACCAGACAATATGTGGACCAGCTTTCGGCTTAAATTCTGTTTCAATGAATGAAGAGGAAAATAAATATCCCAAGAAACAAAAGCTGCTAAAAATCAAGAGACCACACGGCCATTATAATATGTTATAAGAACCTTTAATGTTTGACGTCGCACAAGATCACGATCCTTCTACCTTTTTTTTCTTTCTTCCTCCCCCTTCCCAGAAAGAAGGTTTTTAAGTATTCAGAGCATGTTGTAATTCTGTGAGCTTTCGTTTAAAATCTAAAATAAATAATACATAGGAATGGCTAAAAATAAGAAAGTGGAGTGTCGTAGAAAGACCAGTAATGCTCTTTCACTTTAAAAGAACATGGGCAGTTTATTTATGGATACCAAGTTACTACATCTGAAATAAGCCAAATTTTGAAGAGTCAATTTCTAGAAATCTCAGCATTAACTGATTTCCTCTCTATAAATAGTTTCAATCACCACAAGTTTAAATGAGCTATTAAGGGATCCTGATTCCAGGTAAGAAAAAATTGCATAAGGTTTTCATGAAAAAGGTTGTCAATTTTTCATGAAACTGAATAAGATTGTCAAACTTTTTTATGACGGTGGTGTCTGGCGACGACTCCACCAGATACCCTGTTACCTCCCAATCTCCCACCAGCACAGGTATTGGGTAACTATGCGCATTGGCAAGCATTGGCAAAGCCACCTTTGTCCAAGGGGTGTCAAATTTTCCCCTTCACCGGAATCTCTGACTTTCTTAGTGTATTTACTTTTTTAAATTTTGACTCCCTAGGTGAAAATCCTGGCTCGCACCCTTCTTTGTGAACAAAGGCTTAGGTGATGGGGAGAAATCACCTAATACTTTTTGCCTCCACTAAGATTTGATAAGATTGTCAATTTTTGTTGAGTCTCAGTACATTGACATTTACAGCTACATATAACCTACACGGCTACACATACATATACGCACACACATATAAGAGGGTGTGCCTCTGTGTGTGTGTAAGAGAGAGAGAGAGGGAACCTGTTCAATGAGCTTGCGCTCGGATAAGAAATCGAAAGTGGAAACAAGGGCGTAAGCACCGGCGATGACGAAAGCCGTGGCTCCCGCATCCTGTAGCATTGAGCCACCATCTCCAATTATAGCATCAAAACCACCTGTTAAACCGGCGTCGGCAGGACCGGGAACAGCTCGGGAACTGTACGGCGAGAAGAATCGTCCGCGAAATGTCAGAGCGTGGGTTGTTACAGTGAGAGAGGAAGGCAGATTCGAGAGGCGTACGTGACGTGGAAGGACAGAGTTGGGGTAGTGGGTGAACCGAACCACCGCGGCGGCGGCGGCGGCGATAGTTAAAACTCTGCTCATTTGTAGCACTAGCACAAGCTTTCGTTCTAGAATCTACACTCTCTTCATCCGTCTTCACATATAATTAGCAGATAAACTAGATTTATCCATAGAAAAAGACTGAAATTGTTATGACGATTATGGGGACAACTAGTAAATTTGGCAAAAATAAATTAATAAAATATAAAAAAAAATCCTTTATAATTTTATTTCTTTAATTTAAAAAATTATAGTACATATAAATGTTATTCGATTAATTATTTCCAAAAAAGAGAATAATTGAAGGGAAAAAAGGAATGATAATTATAAATATGTTTCTTAGGGATAAATATGCCAAATTACGTGACCTCACACACATACATATATATATATATAGAGTCCGAAACTTAAATAGTGCCAAAAATGGGTAAAATTTGCACGGGGCGCCCTATTTGGTCGCACTCATTTAACATATACCTATTTTTTTTAAAAAGTTTTAACTTGTACTCAGTTTTTAAACAACTTCAGTCCCTTTCTCCTCCTCTTCTCCTCCTTCGTTTTCTTTTTCTTTTTTTATGGCTAAGCTTAATACCAATTGGGTACAGAAATCAAGGGACCAATATTATCACCCTGGGGAAATTTCACATTTTATGAAAGGTATAAAGAATCCAAGCGACAAGACAAAGGTGACAACAGACAAAAAAAGAAAACCATGAAACCCCAAGTTCGCAGCTTCCACAAGCCCAGAACAAAAGAAAAAAAAGGTGATTAATTACTGATTAATCTAGCAAGCATTGAAGATAATATTTTGTAATGAACTCAACTGAAATAAGGAAAATAAACGACAATAATGGAAATAGACTTGTTCTTCCTTTTATGTTTTCGTTAGAGATGTAAAAAGTTGTTGAGGATTAATAAAGTAAACGTGGTCTTATGGATTTAACTTCAGTTTATATAGTGCTGAAGTTTTACAAATGAACTAAATAATTTTGGCATCTTCTGCTGAAGTTTTTGAAAAAGCTTATTCATGATAAAAAAAAAATTCAACACTAAATGCTTAAGTTCAGCAAATAGAGAACAAAACTTCAGCACTAGAATGCTTAAGTTCAGCAAATAGAGAACAAAACGTCAGCACCAAAATGCTTAAGTTCAGCACACTTGGTCTACTTCAGGCCCGGCTACTAGAATGCTGAAGTTTTGCGTGATTGTTTTTGCTACCTCAGCCCTGTATGCTGAAGTACCGCGAAAAAGTGGGTACGCTTGTAATTTTTTTTGCAAAGCGGGCACAAGTTAAAACGTGACCCAAAAAACGGGTATAGATGCAAATTTACATAAATACATAAAATGCAGTATAATACTGCGTTTTACTTTAACGGAAAGTTAGCCATTAAAGTTAAACGCAGTATTATACTGCGTTTTATTAAAAAATTAATTTTTTTAGGAAAACGCACTATAATACTACGTTTTCTATAATATTTGGGCCCACTTCTGCAGGACATTTAAATCCCTATAATTTATTATAGGAAAACGCATTACAATACTGTGTTTTCCTTAAACGCAGTATTGTACTGTGTTTCCCTGTAATATTTGGGCCCACTTCTACAGGACATTTAAATCCCTATAATTTATTATAGTAAAATGCATTACAATACTGTATTTAAGGAAAAAGCAGTATTGTAATGCGTTTTCCTATAATAAATTATAGGGACCCTTCTTCTTCCTTGGCTTCACGACAGAAGCCATTGTTCCCCACCACTGT